GCACAACGTGTTGGCAACAGGCATTCCCACTTATTGCGTAGCCTGGGGAGCACGTGTCAATTTGCAAGCCTTTGCTTTCCCTGAGCTCTGAGCTTCCTGCAAGCAAATCTGCATTCCCAAATTTACTTCATGTTTTAAAAATTACTTTTTAAAAAAATACAAAATTAATACATATTCCTTGTAGACTATTTGAAAAATACAGAAAAACAAAGAAGAGACTATAAGAGGTGCTGGTCAGGGCTATCACTCACATGTAATTTCTCTTAGCATGTGGGTGTGTCCTTTTCGTATTTTTCTCCCCTAAGATTTTTTACGTTATGTTATACCTATAAATATTTTCTTATTTTGTGAGATATAGTTAATACTGTTTAAATGACAGCAAAATATTCTAGTCAGGGTTTCATCACAAATTATTTAAGAATTGTATATAGCTGTATATTTAGGCCGTTTGCTTGTTTTTGATATACAACATCTCTCCAATAAGAATCCTTGTAGCAAAATCCTTGGACAAATCTCTGGTTATTTTTTTTGGAAAATTATTAGAAATGAAATTGGTAGATCGACAATATGCACTTTTTTGAGGACTTCAAAAGACTTACATCCAGTTGTAGTGTAAATATGTGTTAGTGTCCAAACATCTTTTAATTTTTAACTCAATTTCCTGCACACCAGCAAATATATTAGTGGTATGATAAACAGGCAGAGTGAGGCCTAGAGAAATATACTTAAGGACAGTGTTTTAGAGGAGAAATCAGTACCCTCTGAATCTCTTATGTGTTGATGACAGAAAGATAAGCGGAAGTAGAACCAGATTTGGGGGAGGGGGGCTCTGTTTGGGCAGGTATATAAGGGACCCATTTTCCCCCACAGCAAGTCGCAGACCATCCTGACATAGGATGTACACTTGAACTTGCCTGGAATAGCTGCTGTAATGGGATAGTGACTTTTAAACACCTTACACTGACTTTTTAATCAGAACCTGCCACCTCTCCTTTAACTGGACAAATGACCAAATAGTACTCAATATGGAGCTTAG